GGCAAAACATTAGAGTACGGATTCTGTTGCTGCTGCTGCTGTTGATGATGGCTATGATGATGTTGATGTTGCTGTTGGGCTGTTTGGTAGCCCGAAGAAGCGGCATTATGTCTTACAGCGTAGGCAAAGTTCTCGCCGGGGACGTACACAAGGACACTATTCTGCTGTATACCCTGTGTTTCGTGGTGGTTGAGATGCTGTTGAATCGACTGGTGATTTCTACGAGCTTGTTGATGTTGATGATGATGATGATGCTGCTGCTGTTGTTGTTGTTGTTGCTGCTGAAGATGGAGCGAATGATGCTGTTGATAATGCTGCTGATGAACGTGATTTTGGGGAGCAGGGTGAGAGATGGGCTGCTCAGGCTTGCCGGCCATGGTCCAGGTCCAGCAATGCTAAGTGCCGCGCCACCGACATCACTGGAACACACAGCGCACGCCTCCGATACTCCACTAGCCCGTGCGGCATCCTCTTAACACACAAATAAACAAACAGTCAATTATACATATTAAATTACATTTAACGCTACTCTAGTACTAACTACACTATACACTAATAAACTGTCTTGTTGTGTTTGTTTCTCGGCCGTAAACATCATTGTAATTAATATCTGTAATTTAATCCTACATAAATATCACCTGATAACAATAAATAAAGTAATCCTATATATCCTAGATTTAAGATATACTATTTTATTGAGAACAAGGTCACGTTCGATCAGTTTACTTGCGCTTAATAAAAATATTTTTATTTTCATTGTTAGATTTTTTTAAAGAATAAAATTGTCACGCGGGATATAAATACAGCTATTAATTTTATGATTGATAACCGATAACAGACAAATAAAAATTCTCTTATCATACTGCTGACAGTAATAATAAAAATAATTTTTATAAGTTATAACTGTTACGTTGTTTTTATCGTGACAAAAATAAATATATAAAAAAAACAGAACAATATAACTACCTATGGCGTAACAGCTTGTACCGTGCATTGGATGCATATGTACGAACTGAGTCGTGTTCAGCGAATCCCGTTGACATCACACACGCGAGTGTTTTAATCCTTAAGTATGTTATTGCACTTATTTATTTATTATTACTGTACTTAACACCACACAGTACAAGTACTGTCACCTTGTCACTCTAATAACTACTAATTACTTTTCTTTATTCTTATTTTATTTAAATAAAACTTATTTATCCATTTATTATAAGACAATATTTTTAATAAAAATCAAATAAATAATGGAATATTTTTTTTATTTTTCCCTAACTATTTTAGAGACACATTGTAATAAAAAACACTTGTGTTGCACACGAGTTTTAATAAAACGGATCGATGCCTTCTCACTCAAGGACGTAGCAGCGACATACTAAACACCGGTATGTCATTAATGAATCCGAGTAGCACACACGTTGCACACTCATCACGGGTTTTATTTTATTGAATATTATTATTTTTTTTTTTTTTATATTTATAGGTACTTGTATCATGTAAGACACACGCGACTGATCGAGATCGAGATAAAGGTTTTATTATTAATAAATTAATTAATAATTGAGAAAAAAAAATATATACTTTACAGAGCAAGAAATAGTTGTGGTGTTATGACGTCTGTGTCATCGTCACTACACTAGCTCTGGCCAGCAGTGTCACACAACTATCTCCATTCCGCTCAACTTCTCGACATCAACATCTACAATCTCCATTTAAATATGTATTAGTAGCACACTGTATCACGAATATTAAACCCAATAACTAATAAGTTGTCGTCTTAGCAGTCTTGGTCCTGGTCTGGGTCGTCAGAGTCCTAGTCTTGGTCACCGTAATTTAAAACCAAACTATCAAATTTATTAACATGCCCTCGGATTAATTATCATTAATTACGGGTTATTATTTTTTTATTTAAATCAAGTTTCGGAGTAACCCTCTCGCCGAATAAAAACCAACACCTGCGCGGGCCAACAGCGCTCCAACTTTTTTATTTTCTATTCTTTTTTTATTTAAAATTTTATTTTAATTTTGTGTTAAACTCAACACACATCTCTTGATACTAAATATATATATATATATATATATATACATATATATATATATATAGATATGAAGTAGACGAACTGAGATGTATAGACACATATGTGTATGTATGTGTGTATAATATAACTGGAGCTAAATCTGTTAGATTGAATAATATTCACAAACAAACGAATTAAAGCACAGCACTTGAATCTATTGAGTTATTAATTATTACTTTATATTTACGGTGATAATAATAGTGTTATTTATTATTAAATATACACGGGGCACCTTTTTAATATTATTACAATCGCGTCAAGGCCACTACGGGCCTCGCTGCTGTTACACGCGTTCTACCGACAATCGCAGTGCCAAGAGCCGATAAAATATCCCATTCCCATCCCGCGAATGCTATACGTGCGCTCTTTTCGCGTAACTGATATTGGAAAAATATGGCTCCCTCTGTATACCCAGAGATCTTTGCGGCATCTTCTACACACTAGCACACACACACACACACACACACACACACACAGACCGGTCTACTGCGAGTGTTGTTATTTCTGCTGGTGCTGCTACTTTATTCGACACTCACCACTATCAAGCTCATTATTATTTAATACTATATAAACTATTGTGAAAACATAAGACTATTTTCACCTGTTTTGACTGCCATCTTACGGAGTTCTAAGCCGTTAATTTTAAATACCTGCGCGCGCAATGCGCACTGGACATGCGCAGCAAGACGCGCTAAATTTAAATAAAAAAATTAATTTAGCCGATATTAAATAATTTTTCTAATAAATAAATAGATGCATAAAAAAATTGAGAAAAGAAATAAAGATTTTGAAATTTTAATAAAAAATGCAGTTTTTTTTTTAATAATCTTTTGGAACAAATTTTTTCGTTAAATAAAATTAAAAAATGGTCAAGTGACAGCTAATATAACTTTAAAATCATTTGTTAATTTTAATCCTTTTTTCTTTAAATGAAATTATAAATAAAAAAATATTTTTAAAAACTTGCACGTATAATTTTTTAAACTTTCGAAATGTTAAATTTTTTCTTTTACTTTTTTAAAAGTAATTTATCAATAAAATAAATTATAAAAATTTCCAGATTAAAAATTTTTTTAACGAATAAATTATGGCAAAAAAAAATTGACATTTAAAAATTGAAAATGCAATTTATTTAAAATAATTTTTTGAGTAAATTTGGTTTTTGAAAAAATATTTTAAAATGACGTGACTGCTGACTTAAATGTTATCAAATTTAAAATGAATTAATTTTAGCAGTAGAGTTATTACTTATTTTTTAATTATTTGCTAAAGAGATGGGATATATTTTTAAATAAAGTAATTATCAATTAATTTATTAAATAAGACTCTTTTTGTTGCATTGACCATTTTTACTTGATATTTAAAATAAATACTAGCAATTCACCTAAGAATAATAAAAGTTTCAAATCAACTAAATAAATTTTTTATTCTGCTGTTATAAATTTGATGTATTTAAATAAGTGTATATGTATAGAATTATAAATAATTAATAAATTGTGGTGAAGATTTAAATAATTTAAGTAAAAAAAAAATTAATAATAATAATACATGATTTAATTTTGCAGAGTATGAATATTATGCGGATCAAGGTTAATGCGTTGACGTAATTGCGCTCGATGGACAATCGTGAGTCATGTTTTATGATAAAAAAATTACAATATACGTATATTGCAGGCATCGTTACATATTTATCGGCTATTAAGATATTTAGGATCACGAAAAGAAATAAAAAAGAATAAACATGTATATACAGACAATTAAATTTTCTTTTTCCGTCAACCAAAGGAGAAAGAAAATAATTACAAATTTAAATTTTATTGTATCCAATAATTTCAGTGACGGCAAATCGATTGTTATCAATTCAGATGTCTCAATTTTATATTTATTAGCTACAAGATTTTTTTTTTTTTTTTTTTTTTTTTTTTTTTAATATTTCATGTTGAATTGTACACAATTTTTTTTTATTAAATTATAATCATCAATTAAAAGAGTAACGTACATGCGAATAGATTTTGATTAATTTTAATGGAATCCAACGAACCTTGGAATGAATCAATAATTGTAGTTTATGAAAATTGCAATTAAAATTTAATTTTATAAATAATTTTTTCATAATATTTATTTCTATAAAACCATCATATTTAAATAATTAAAGGGCTAATAATAAAGAGTTAATTGTAAAAAACTCGTGCAAAGATAAATAAACGATCAATAATTACTAGTAAAAAATTAGAATCTCAAAACTATTAATTTCATTAGATAAATTTATTAATTAAGATAAGTTATTCTATCTAAAGCAGTGATTTAAAAACAAAAAACAGCTTTAATGGAGCTAGGATCAATGAATTTACGGTCATAACTCAGCTAGCTCAGCCACTTTCATTTTATTTGAATAATTATTATTATCATCATTATTAATATTATTAAATAACTATTATTGTTTCAATTAATTAATTAGTTATTAATGTTTATAATCGTTCTAAAGAGCGCATTGATTTATAAGTACAATTCGCTCCGTCTGTATTACGGACAAAAGGGGAAAAACAACAATAATTATAATGGACAAAGGCTCATCGTAATGTCTTATTTTAATTTTTAATTTTTAATTAGATATTATTGCAATTTTATTGTTTAGTCAATTCGAATTATTTTTATCACTTGATTAATTTAATGAAAACCTAACAATTATTATTATTACACTACTGTCCAAGGGATCACAATAATAATATTATATTGATGATGCAGTAATTGGGATGTTGAGTTGATCACTTAATTATAATTATTATTGTTATCATCGTAATAATTTAAGAAATAAAATAATTATTGTAGTGGTTCTGATGAATTTATCTTGTTTTCTCGACAATCAAAAATTAGTAAATTAATAAATTGATTTATTTATTAATTAATTAATTAATTAATTAATTAATGTGTAGCACATTGAACACGAGATGAACCTTTGTCTTCGTCATACGCTTCGCCTCCTCGCTCACGTTGTTGTTGGGCGTCTAACATAGGGTCAAAGTCTTGCAAATCGACCTCTTCAGCATCATCGGGAATGATTGCCTGATCACGTGCCGGTAGCAAACTTTCTAATTGTGGAATAATGGCCGGATCAAGTGATTTTGGATACTCGATAGTGAAATGAATCGTAAGTTTTCCTTTTGTGAATGGATCTCGGTACAGCGGCATACCTTCTTCTGGTATACATTTAAGATCACCATGTTTCACAACTTGCCCTGGTAATGACGTTATCAAAAGATTTCGATCGTCGAGCGTACGAATTATTTTTTGGAATCCACACAATGATTCCGTAAGATTTAATATCATTGGTAGGATTAAATTGTTTCCAGCTCGCCTGTAAAAAAAAGTATTTATCAATTCTAAAATAATAACATTCCAGGTGTACAAATAGTGATTATAAACTATCAGTTATATTCCATATAATTCTATCAATTAATGATTATCAATTATCAATTACTAAAATTTTTATTTTTTCTTGTTTTGTTTTTCTCATTTTTCAAATTTAAAAAAAAAGTTTTTTTTTTTTTTTTCAATTTCTTAAGGGAGTATTCTGGTCTAGAAACATGAAATTTCAAGTAATTTTTAAAGTGCCGTAAAATAAAGGCAATCAATATTTTTACTATACATTTTTTTATAAGTTATTAACATTATAAGAATACAGAAAGAAATAAAAAAGTTGAAAATTCAAAAAATTAGCAGCTGATGAAATGGGAGAGTCTCAAAAAATTGGCACGTGACGATAGAACTACGTTCATCTCCAAATTTCAATTTTTACTATTTTGAAAAAATTCGAAAAAGTCAAAAAAGTGGTAAAAATAATTGTTTTTTTTTTTTTTTTTTTTTTTTCAGGCAGTCGCCATTTTGTGAAAAATTTCTTTTTCAACTTTTCTGTAGTTCCAACCATAGCGACATTTCTCTAGATTAAAAATCTTTTTTATTTTTTTGTTTCCGATTGCTAGGAGAGTTGGAATCGTGGGTATCATGTGCCGATTTTTTTGGGACTCTCCCACTTTATCAGCTGCTAATTGTTTGAATTTTCAACTTTTTTAGTTTTCTCTATATTCTTATAGTGTTAATAACTTATTAAAAGATGTATAATAAAAATATTGATTGCCTTTTTTTACGGCACTTAAAAAATTACCGGAAAATTTAATGCTTCTAGACCAGAATATCCCCTTAAATTTCTTAAACCTATCTTATCTTTACAAATGCTATTTATTGTATAAAATCATTACTAAACATTCTACACATGAAAATGTAACATATTGTTGTAAATTGCCAAGGGCGTTTCTTTACTAATAAATAAATTAATTAATTCAATAAAAGTCTCGGAATAAAATCAATTTTTTTTTTTAAATCAAGAACTTACTTGTAGACGGGATGTTCTTTTTCATCAAGTAAAATAATGATATCACCGGGTTCAAGACCGGGTTCTTGATCACCTTCGCCATTGAAAACAATCTTCTGACCGTCAACCATACCCTTATCAACGTGAACTTCCAAAATCTTTCGGTCACGGATGGTTTTCTTGCCACCACAGTGTTTGCATCGGTCTCGCTGGTTGATACGCTCACCCTGACCCTTGCAGCTTGAACACTTTGATTGAATTTGCTGGACAATACCCGGAGCCAGCTGCTGAATTTGCATTACCATACCAGAACCGTGGCATGTAGTACACTGCTCTGCCGATCCTTTTTTACCTCCATATCCTGTAAATCAATCAAGGTATAAAAATTAAAATAATTTATATTGAAGTTATATTTTAAATTAAAGAAATTCGATTAATTTACCTTCACATTTTTCACAGATAACGTTCTTTTGTAAAGCGAGTTTTCTCGTGGTTCCTTTGTACAATTCTTCAAGCGTAACAGACAATTGATGCACAACATCTTGGCCTTTCCGCGCTCTGCGTCTTGAACTGCTACCGAAAAATACGTCAAAGATATCCATGGGAGACGAAAAGTGGCTGCCCATTCCTCCCTCTTTCAATGCTTGTTCACCGCCAGTATCATAAATGCGTTTCTTCTCTGGATCAGATAATACTTCGTACGCTTGTGATATTTGTTTAAACTGTAAATTGTTAAAATGTAAAACTAAAGTATTAATTAATTTAAAAAAATAATGTAACAATTTTTATTTGGCTCGAATTTGAATACTCTAATGGTATTAAAATAAAAAAAAATTTTTTTTATTTCTTTTCACTCATAAATTTGAAATAAATTTAATACAAAAAAATAAACTTTGTTATTTTCTTTGTGAATTTTTCTAAAATTTTTTTTTTAAATAATTTATTTGATAAAAAAAAATTCTAAAAATTTTTAGATATTGATCAAATTTAGTTTTATGTATTTAATTACTTATTTATTATTATTTATAAAACAAATAATTATTTATTAATTAAAATATTTATTTATTAAATAAAAATAATTACCCTTTCTCCTTCATTGGGATTTTTGTCAGGGTGGTATTTAAGGGCAAGTTTCCTATAAGCTTTTTTGAGATCATCTTGTGAACACCCTGGCTTGACACCGAGGACATCATAAAAAGTGGTTTCTTTCACCATCTTGTTTACCGTGATAACTCGACCAAGGTAAAATCAATCACTCAAATAAATTAGTCTCCTGAAATTTAAAATAAAATAATTAAACATTTATAATATTTAATAGATAATAAATAAAATCCAATTGATTTAATTAAACAATTAAAAGTGAAAGCAGATAAATTGATCAACAGATAAGCATTGGAGAAAATATAATTTCTCTAGAGTCACACTAATCAATAATTATCATGAGGAAAAAACCGGCGATCAACTTATGAATTTACTTAAACAATGTCTTAATTAAGTAATTTAATTTAAAAAAATAATAAATAAAGATATTAGAAGTAAAATGGTTATATATTATGAAAGCAAAAATGGCGGTCGTAGCGTCGCAACTTGCGTCGATTTTTTACACCCATTATCCGGCACATCGATAAAATAACTCACTCTCCCCCCATTAAATATCACTATTTATCTCTACACAAAATGAGTGCGTTTGAATTAGATTGATATAGAAAAAAATTAATTATTTAATTGATTTCAAAAAATAAGTCATCTCATGTCCACGTGACAGAGCAACTTCTTGTCAAGCATTTTTTTTTATTGAACTTTTTTAAAATTAATTCCATTATCCCAGTAGTTTACTTACAAAACAATAAAAGAAAATATGAAATAAAAAATAGTTTAAATAATTTCCAAAAAAAGATACTGAATTTTTTATTTAAAGGTTGAATGTTCTCGAGTAGAAAGTACTAGAAGCGAGAATGCTGAAGAGCGATTTCAGTGCAGGTAACAAAGATCACCTATTAGCACAAAAGGTTTCGATGAGTTTCTATGTAAGAACAATTTTTTTTTTATAATTTACGAATAAAACAGCAATAAATATAAATATATAGATTTAAAACGGCTTGGCAACCTTCGAAAAATATTTCCTAGTTATAATTTGCAATACATGATTACGAAATAACAGTTCACGGACAAGATTACATATATATATATATATAATCATAAATGTAAGTATATATGTATTTATGTATAAAATTTACTTATTGATATTTTGTGTATAGAAGATATGTTAATATAGTATAACAATGTGGATTATAAGTTAGTAAGTACGTTTAATATTAAGTCGATCTATTGATTGCGTGGATACTTTATTTAATTTGCATCTGACTGTTTGAAAAAAAAAAAATTAATTGTCATGAATTTTTTTTAGTACTTTGTGTTAACTTTAATTTAGAATTTTATTATATAGGACAAAGAACAAATTGACAAAAGACTCACCTGGATCAATTGAAGACAATGGTAAAAATCAAATATTACAAAACGATATCGAAAATATGCCCTGGCACAGGACTGACGACAAAATAGCAAGAATGGAGTGTAATGCGTACTACTGCGTTCACTGGATTATTACTAAAGATTGTACCAGACAGCGTTTCTCGAAACTTCCTAATGCTCTGGTGATGTAGATAAATATGGAGGTCTATTTTGTCCCAGCCAATCAAAATTCAAGGCTTACGCGGGTATCATTTACATGAGACGACCAAGTTTAAATTTTAATTGGTTTTTTTAATTATTTTTTTATAAGAAATTATTATTTAAAGTATTTATTTAATTAGTAGGTTATGTATTGGAGTTTTTATTTATTAAAAATTGAATAAAGATATTAAATATGTGATGACAGGTGACGGATGTTGATCTGAAGCGGCATCTTCATGTCACTCCTGGCGACTAAAATTTAAATATTTTTTAAACAGTCCTTTTTTATGCACATTCATTCCGAAGCGCGGCCATGATGATTTTTAGATTTATTTAAATGCAATGATTTATTTATCGCTCTTATTATATTTTTAGTTTATGCGCGTAATAAAGTCATATAAAAATAATTAAATGCATTTCGGTAGCGATTGAAGCGACACCTGAATTATTTTTTTTCGGTCGATAAGTACATTATTTTTTATTTATTTAATTTTGTTTATATCTTTATATTAAATTTAGATCGATTGTTTCAATAACCGCGTAAGTCTTACAAAAAAGTTATATTGTTGAATTATTAATGTATTAATTGAATATTAATCGTTTTTTAAAGTTTTTTTTCGTGACTCAAGTAGTAAAAATCTAATTTCCGCTAAAATTATGATCTTCAAAATCAATTTTAAATGAGTGAGTCATTTTATTTATTTATTTATAATACTAAAGTTAGCCGACATTTTTAATTTTTTGATTTTGTTCGATTATTAAATTAGAACTAAATACAATTTTTTTTTAATTGCACTTATGGTTTTTTACAAATGAAAATTTTTTATAACATAAAAATTAGCTGTCACTTGACAATTCTTTGATTTTTTTTTAACAAAAAAATTTGTCCCAAAAAATTCTTTCAAAAAAATTGCATTTTTTACTTTTTAAAATTTTTAAATGTCAATTTTTTCTTATAATTTTTTTTGCAGTAATTTATCTCTTAAAAAAATTTTTAGATGTCAGCTAATTTAATTTTCATTATTTATTTATCACCAATAATGAATAATTCCATTTTAAGTATTTATTTATTTTTTATTTTTATTTTATTTTGACATTTGAGTTGCATTACATATGGATATATGCTAATGAAAATTATATTGATAATTTTTATTAAGACAAAAAATATCGGGTATTAATATATATCACAATCTTATCTTTATAAAATAATTCCTATTATCAATTCAAAACAAAATAATATATTTAGAACGACAAAGATATTTATTCAAATTAACCTAGTACCAAAACCTATCATCGCCAAAGCCGTGTATTATTTATTTTAAAAAATTTGTATCAATTATACTGGTTGATAATTGTAAAGTCTAAAATGAAAAACAAAATTTAGGTTTTATAAAAAAATAATGAAAAATTTCAAGTATGGATTGATATTATTTATTTTGACGTAGCTACACAGTTTATAATATCGATATGAAATAATTTTTTATTTGGCAATCGCCCATGATTTATAATTGCACATAAATCATCAGTAATAATTAATAACTAATAGTTTATTTAATTCATATATTTATTTATTAATTAATCAACACAAAGTCATAAAATTCACAAATATCGCGTTTTAATTGCACGTTTTGTTACTTAAAGAATTAATTTAAATTAACTACTGAAGAAAAACTAAAATAAGATAACAATAAACCAACAAAAATAGTCCAACAATAACAGACAGTTGCATTGCACCGAGTCCAACAAAGTACTTTGATAAATATGTCAGAATCCGTATGGTATGTCAAAAACAAGATAAACGAACTAAAAAAGTGCGTGAATTAATGATTAATTACAACAGTTTTCAATTTTGTAAATATGTAAATGTAGAAACAAATAATATCTTAATTTACTCACTCTCACACTCTCTTAATATAATAACTTTAGTTATTTACGCTCAGTGATTTAAACTCATTCTGGCTACAATAGATTTTTTTTTAGAAATTTTACATATTACTTTTGTACTTAACAAACATGATAATATGTATTTAGACAAAATATTTGAAACTACCAAATTTTTAGTTCTCATTGCTCACTTGAATTTTTTTTGCTTCAAATATTTTTTTTTTTTTTTTTTTTGTCATTGTTTAATACACCGTCAAGTCTGTTATCTCAATTTGGATTATTTATCCTTTCTTTAGGTGGTTCCTGTAACTATTCTCAGGTACATAAATATAAACCATCAACAGATGATTCACTGATTATTAGTATTTATCTTAATTACTTTTTTTTAAATTTTAACTTTTTAAATGATCAACGAAAAACAAATGCTCACGAGCGTAATAAAGTAATGTATAAATAATCGTAATTATAATTATTAATTACATTACAGTGGAAGGAATTATTAAATAAAATAACCCACTGATAATTAATTATTATCAGCTTGCGATCCGTGACTATCAGCTTTGGCAACCGTGGAATTGATACCTTCCGTAACACTATCAATCTTTAAGTCTCCCTGTCGTTGCTGCTGGCCTGGTTTGGTGACTGTGGTGCTCGTTAATTGGGTCTTGTTAAGCATAGAACTGAATTCGCCAAATTTAAGTATTTCTTCCATAGCAGACTGCTCCATGGATACCTAAAAATTAAAGACAAAAAAATTATTTAACATTATTACATGAACTATTGCTACTATCGCGATTGTTACCAGTCACAGTCAAGATCTGACATCGCCAGCGGGCTTATAAGCCGCCACGTCCTGCTGGCAGTTCAAGATAAACTGGCGGTGTAGCAATCGTGTTCACCTTTCTTGGTCGTCCGCGTTTTCCTCTTCCAGCTAGAGTGTTGACACCCTGCTGCTGTTGGTGCTGTCCGTCACCCAGTACCGGCAACAGAGCTTTCCGCCGCGGCCACTGGAGATGCGAGTCAAGATGTTGCTTCAGTTTATCCTGACGAGCAAACATACGTGGACAGATACTGCACGCAAACGGCCGCTCACCGGTATGGACTCTTCGATGTCTTGCCAGGTGAGACGCTCGCGTAAATGCAAGAGTACAAAGGTCACATGGGAACGGCTTATACTGTGCTTTATTACGCTGTAAACCTGTCTTAGAGGCTTCGGTTATCTTTTTATTACTCTCTAAATTAGTTTTTACTTGAATTAAGTTACTTTGGGAGTCTTCTACAGTTTCATTGCCCATTGAGTTCTAAAATAAAAAAAAATAAAATTGTAAAAATCATATTAGTTAAACACTACTGTGACGATCGAAAAAAAAAGAGGTGATTTTCGGGAATTTTTTTGACAGGGAAAATAAAGGAATTTCGGAATCGGATTTTTTTTATTTTATTAAGGGTATATCAAAGATTATTACCCTAAATTTTTCGTAAAAAATATTTAATTATTACAAAGTTATTAACAATCTCGTAAGAACACTAGAAAAAATTGCCCCCTCCATGATCGGATCGATAATTCAAAAACGGATCATCTGAAAATAAAAACCCAAATTGCTTTTTAATCAGTAAGGATGTAGTTATCGTCGCACGTACGGAATTTCAAAAATTTTTTTAGCCGGGTTAAAAAAAAAAACAGTGAGAATAGAGAGAAAAATTTCAATCAGTCGCCATTTTTTTGGAAATTATAATTTTCAAAATTCCGTACGTGCGACGATAACTACATCCTTACTGATTAAAAAGCAATTTGAGTTTTTA